CCTTTTTTGTCTAATAAAAAATAAAATTAAAAAAGTTTTAACTAATATAAGAAAAACTATATACAATAAGTACAATAACTATATACAATATATACAAGCAATGAATACATCAGCAATGTCTAGTCCATTTGCATTTGACAAATTCAGTGAAAATATTCCATTATCTATCCTATTTTGGTGAGTCCAAAAATGTACCTAATTCACTTTCTATCCTAACTTGTATTACCAACAGAAAACTATCTTATGATGTCTTTCAAATTTATAGAGTTAACACCTCTTAGTGAGTTTCTTTTCTGAATTTTCTTAACAAGGAAAACTGTAACTACAGCTATCTAATCTTCAACTCCCCCAGAGACCCGAGAAGGAAGTAATATTACCTAGTAAAGCACGAAGTGCAAACAAGTGACTTCCAAAAAATGTGAGTTATGACAGAAACAGCTGGCTGCCTGGACAGTCACCTGAGGTTTCTCTGCAACACTGAGACATCATCTTTGGCCTACAGGTTTAGCATATCTGACAGACTGATTTGTGACGTAGGATGTACACAAGGCCTACAGCTCGACCCCACATTCGGTGCGAGTATTCTATTTCCAGATAAACTTGAATTCCGTCAGTGTCCTGTCATGATCCAGGATTTTAAATTCTGGAAATTGCTGGTGTTTTTGGAATTCAGCTTCCCATTCTTCTTGGCTTGTGGGTGGCTTTATCTTCTTTATTAATAGGGTCATAGTCCCTAGAGGCTAGAAGGCCATTGGTGAAGTTTTGTCTCATTTTTCAGTGGAAACCATAGTATATTGTAGATTCTAGGACTTGGGACAACCACCAGGGATGGCAGCATGTATGAAATGAAGCTGATATGGGCTGTATAAGAAAGGTAGCAAGCAAGCCAAGGGAAGCAAGCAAGTTAGCCCCTTTCCTCCATGGGCTGTGCCTCGGTACCTGCCTGGAGGTTCCTGCCTTGGCTTTCTTTGATGACAGACTGTCATCTGTAAGCCAACTTAAGCCTGCCCTCCCCAAACCGGGTTTTGGTCAAGGTGTTTAGCACAACAGAAAGCAAGCTAGGACAGATTCTATTCCAATTCATTCACTAATTCATCTTATCCTTCTTTTATCACTTGTAATTTTTCTCAATACTTATTACATATTAAACTCAAGAGACCCAAAGAACATTTTGCCCTGTGGTGTGCTGTAAGCAGTACAGTGCTTTCTTACACCCTGTGGCTAGAGACTTATTACTGGTTCTATCATTTTTACTTCCAGCTCAAACTTACTTAATATTCATAAATGAAACCGAGTTGTGACTATTGGATATCAGGACACACCCAAAACTGAACTATTCTTAATGCACCAATTTCTGAGGTAAAACACATCATTGATTCCAGCAGACTATACTCCCAGGTGCCACGCTCCCAAGCAAATCCCATTAAGCAGAAGCTAGGCTCCAGTGGAGATTCCCGATCAAAGCCAGGTTGGGTTCCTTTGTCCAGTTCAGGAAGGATGAGGATTTGATCTCATTGACGGTAGGATAAGTCATTTAGGAGAATAGTTAGATGAACTGAACTCAGATGAATGGTGCCACGGGTACCTAAGCTCAACGAATAGACTGACTTGAAATTAATGATAGAAATGTTACATTGAGCATATAACCATCCTGGAAAATCAACATTTAATTTAGATCAAAGCTAGCAGTCATGTTTATTATTAGCCATTTATTCTTAAAATCTGAAATCATTGTTCAGAGGTGTGGCAGAGCTGCATAAAAATCCCCCAGGAATCCTAAACTGGTATGAGAAAGCCACCTTGTGAGAACCCCACTCCCATTGTCATTTGAACCTTGAGAATTTCTTCCTCAAGCTTCCCTGTGCTCCCTGGATATTATGTTGTACTCTATTTCCATTTGGATTGAAAAGGCAAGAGCTGTGTCTTTGGAGTTGTCTCATTGAGGAAAAGTCTTTGAATGTTGTGGTGGTTTGAATGAAAATGGTCCTTAAAGGCTCATATATTTGAATGCTTGGTCACAAGTTGGTGGGACTATTTGGGAAGGATTAGGAGGTGTGGCCTTCTTGAAGGAGGTGTGTCACTGGGGACGGGCTGGGAGGTTTCAAAAGCCTGTATGATTCTGATTTAGATCTTACTCTTCCTATCAGCTTGTGGATCAGATGTGAGCTCTCAGCTACTGCTTCAGTGCAATGCCTGCCTGCTGCCATGGCCCCCACTGCCACGTGAATGGACGCTAACCCACCGGAACCCTGAGCCCCAGCAAACGCTCTCTTTGCCTTGGTCATGGTATAGAAAAGTAACTAAAAAACATGATCAGAAGGAATGATTGGGAATAGACATTTTTACTTTTATTAAAAATTAACTTCTCCATACACTTGTTTCATCAGACAAGACGAAATAACACAGAGCACCCTCCCCAATCTTACTTGGTCACTGAGTAAAATGGAGTTAGTCATGTTAATAGTAACTTTTTTTTTTTTTTTTTTGAGACAGGGTTTCTTTTTGTAGCCTTGGCTGGCGCTCACTATGTAAACCAGCTTATCTTCAAACTCATAGGATCTGCCTGCCTCTTCCTTCTGAGTTATGGGAATAAAGGCCTGCAGCACCACACCAGCCAGGAACTTGTTTTTGTAGAACACAATCAGGATGTGACTCATCTCTCTTTGTCAGAATTCACTACAGGGTTTGTTCAGGTCGGGTGAGTCATGCCAGCATCTTCAGCCCTGGGAAATGACCTTCCCTTGTTCGTCTGCACCTCCCTAGCTCCAACCAAAACATAATATGGAGGGTGGAGAAGGGTATCAGTGCATCCATGAAGTCACCTCAAAGGTGCTTATTTCAAGTGAGGACAGAATGGTTCATGAAGGTGAGATAATTAGAGAGTAGGGTCTGTTTTCATGCAGTTCTATGGCATAGTTCTTTTGTTTTGAAGTCTTAAGTCAAGACTGGCTTGAGATCTAGAAAATGAGACAATCTCATGACCTCATCAAACCAGCCTGAGAATGCAGTAATGCATTTGCAGTGCAGACTGACCTTGGATACCAAAGGATGTTGATAGACAATATCTTTGCATTTGTCCTGTCATTTAGAGGCATCATTAATTCTATCAATTATATTATGGGAGCAATTCTGAGTATTTTAATTTTTGTTTGCTATATATTTTCCTAATATTTTAGCCATATTTCCAACATTGAGCTACTGAGACTGAAGGGGTTTTCACATTTGGTTTTTCTCTTTTCACGTTTACAGGCCAAGTCAGTCTGACGGAAGAGGGGAACAAGCTGAGCAGAAGCAGGGGAAACTGCTCTCCTCTCATCACTGTGTTCCTCCGCCGTGCCCTCTGTCACCACTCTGTCCTCTGTCACCCACTCTGCCCTCGGTCACCACTCTGTCCTCTGTCACCACTCTGTCCTCTGTCACCACCACTCTGCCCTCTATCACCCACTCTGTCCTCTGTCACCCACTCTGTCCTCTGTCACCCACTCTGTCCTCTGTCACCCACTCTGCCCTCTGTCACCCACTCTGTCCTCTGTCACCCACTCTGTCCTCTGTCACCACTCTGTCCTCTGTCACC